TACTTGAAGGGGTACTTTAAGGGCTTGACTATCAGGGTTGCTCTAAGGACTACTTGAAGGGGTACTTTAAGGGTTACTCTCGGGGTTTTACTATCAGGGTTGCTTCAAGGGTTACTATCAGAATTACTTGAAGGGTTACGACCAGGGTCACTTCAAAGGCGTAGAGTTTAGGTTCGTAGCGCGGGGGAGAGGGTGTTGGTTTAGGCAAAGAGCGAAGGAGCAGAGACGAACCGGAAAAAGACGAAAGTTGAGTAGCACCGAGCTCAGAATTTGAAAGGGCATAGAGACTAATCAAAACAAAAAGAACTGCATACGAAAGGGATAACAACACGGCTGAAGACTGTGACGAAGGGCTTGCATTGCTGCGAGTAGCCCCAAACCCCAAACTCAGATGTGTCCTACTTCAACTTCACATTTAGCTTGAGTAAGCCGCACACGCTTTCCACGACAAGGTTCTGCCGCTTCCGTTCCACTTCAGGCTCCTGCAGGGTTTCAGATTTGGCGTTTTTGGGTGTAGCGGTCTCAGAATGTTAGGGGACCTTTTTCCTGAGCCGTCTAAGATTTAGGGTTTAGGGTCCAGAAGTTCTGAGTTGACGCTGCAGTGCTTGGGCTCAAACAGGCCCTGTCAGATCCATCGAAGAACATGAGGCGCAAAGCAGGGCTGGTGCCTCTTTGGCAACCAGGATGCCCAGCATCTGATCCTCAACTCAACGCGGGATAGGGCTTAGGGTTTTAGGGTTTGGGGTTTAGGGTTTTAGGGTTTAGAGTTTTAGGGTTTTAGGGTTTCTAGATTCGGTCTAGCACGAATCGTCCCATGGCTGCTTGCAGATACTCCGGCCGAAAGCCCCTCTTGAGACAGCACGATGCCCTGGTAGCTTAGGAGCAAGACCTGCAGTCCATCAGGAGTAGCCATGAAGTTGAGCAACGTAACCTGGCTGCCCAGCATTCTAAGAAGTCACGCTGCCGGGCTGCAAAGCGCCTGCACGCAAATCTCTGGCGAGTAGTGCGGATTTGGAAGCTTCGTGGTGATGAAGAAGCGGAAGTCCTGTCGGGTTGAAAAACTCTTACTCTGGATTACACTTTCCGTGCTCCTAGTCAGGCTCGCTTACCACCAAACGAGAGGCTATGGTAAAAAGCTTGGGGGAGAGTAATCTACCGCGAGCGAAGTTGGCTCGGTTGAAGCCTGGCCAGGTGCACAAAAGCTTCCACAGGCCCACTTCTTCCGCCAGATCTGCACATTCCCGCCGAGTTCTCGTCAACGACCCTCTACCACATCCAAGACAGTACCCTATGCAATCAGATCATCAACTGCGGGCCTTGTTGTACTCACACTGGGAGTCACCCAGGCGAATCATCATCTGGGCATCCCGAGCTCATGCGCCCAGAAAAGCCAAAGATGCCCTATGCTCTCAGGAACTGACCACGCTCCCGGCTTTGAAGATGGCCTGCGCTTTCTACTTCGAACATTTAAAAAAAAAAACATCCCTTCGTCTTCGGAAGAGTGTTCTCTTTTGCCTTCTGTAGGAGCGGCTCCAGGAGCGGATCCAATTGCTCCAGAACCTTAGAGACTATACTATATCATACTGTACCATACTGGACTACACTTTTCGACTTCGATTCACAATTGTACTTCTGGTCCTGATCAGGTTACGCCATTTACGCGCCAAGCTCCTCGCATTTTCCAGAAGGGTGGGCTTTCCATAGGTAATCGCACCTCAGGATCTCTTGAGTTTTCTGCCCCCAGACCGCTGCAACCGCTTATCGGCTTCACTTTGGCCTTCCAGCTCGCGGGCGTAGTTCTGTGTCAGCCGAAGAATTCGGAGCTGCTCTCCGCGCCCTGCAGACAAGCGCAATACAATTCACGGGTTCTTAATAATTGTTCCTCGCACGTCCTGCAGATGGCCTGCGTACGTCTTTCGCACCCACTGGTTGGCCTGGAAACTGCGACAGTGCCGAATGCTTCCAATTCTCTGGGCAGTCGCTAGCCTGCAGCTGCGGGTCGATCATCAGCGGCCACCGACGAGACCTGCCACTGAAACGGTCTTCCCAACAGTCTCGGGCAATGCCTCATCCGCACGACTTGGAGTAAGTCCCAACTCACCTCTGGATGATGATGGCATTCTCCACTGACACCTGCCAGTGACATTCTCCCCACACAAGCATGCTGCACGAATGGACCGGGAACGATCGGTCGGGCTGCCAGAAGTCTTACACTAAATACAGACCAGACGTTGCATCCAGCGCTTCAGACAAGCTGTCACGTCAGCCCGCACTGCACGTCGACAACCAGTGGAGGGAGGGAGGTAGAGAGAGAGAGGGAGAGCGACGGAAAAGGGGTGTGGGATCCTGGCAAGGCCAAGCGATCTAAGCCTGTCAACTTACTGATTAGGACGGAAGAGCGCCTGATCGTTTGGAAGCTTGTCGATGACCCACTGGCGGATCTGCACCTGTTCTCCGTACGGGGCCTATGGGTTCTGAGTTGTGCGCCGCCATCCTCGGTGGCTACGTGTGGCCCGGAGTGTCACGGCACACTGGCCTCGTCGCCCAAAACAGTACGAAGTGAGAACTCCTGCGCCGAGGGCAGCTGGTTCTCTTTCATGAGCTGCACCTCAGATGCGTCGAAGTTGACTTTTTGAGCAGCTCGCATCTCCCAGCTTCCCGATCCGGCGCGCTTTTTTCCACAGTTTGCAAGACAGCCTGTAACTCAAGAGGTCAGCAAAAATCGGCTCTTCATGATTTGAACGCTCCCAGAGTCAATCGTCGAGGATCCTTCGGGTTTAGGCCCTCTTAGAATAGTGCCTTTCTTACGTTTTGGTATACTTCTATCATGGAGCCCTGGGGAAGCGGGGAAGAATATGGAATAATTGCTGTACGAACTTCATCTGCAGAGCCTGATTCTGGCAAGGAAGATTCGGGCCAACTAGGGCCCCGAGATCGGTATACAGGTACAATCTTCAGCTCAGTCTCCGATGTCGGACTACCCAGAACAGGCCGAGGCCCCATACCTTCAAAACTTAAACCATAAGAGCATTCACTGGATGCCATATCCACTGAGATTTCAGAGCTGGCAGTCGACAAAGAAGGCTGCTTCTGTCACATTGAACAGATTGGGACTACGCCCTACATCAAGCGTTATAGAGCCAAGTCAGCCAGGCTGGCATTTGAGTGAATCTTCTGGGGTGTGCAAGAATGAAGCATCCTTGAGTAGGGCTTCCGCAAGTGACGAATGCAGAACATGCATGGAGAGCTTGTGAAAATTCCGTTCGCAGGCCCAGCAGAGCTCAGAGGTATTGCTTCATGGCTGCTAGGCAGCGGGCCCTCAGTTCAACGAAATGCGCTGCAAAACAGTGGTGTGCGGAGATCCTGAATCTACAGCTACGTCACTTTCGTTGAGGACCCGGCGTCATTGCTGCGCATTCCGGCATGTCCAGCTGGGATGATGTGAAGCCGCACATGCTGCCAATGACAAGTGCAGGAGAGACTCCTTTGATGCCAGTCGCGGCACAGTGGTCCTTGTAAGCAGACTCGACGGTGTGCAAGAGCTCAAGACTCATGTCCAACGCATTGAAGTAACCTTCAGTGTTGCCGAAGTCTGCGGACACCACCAGCATCAATGGTGTGGGGGCCTCCTCGCCGGTTGCAGGCTCAATGTGGCCTGAGCCACGGCCTCGGATTCTGATCTTGGCTCCCGTTTGCAACGCGATCTGTCGCGTGTTGTTGCCTCCCTTGCCGATGATCATCCGCACTGGATGGAAGGTTCTGTCAGCATGCATCTTGATCTTGAAGCAACACCAACGTCGGGATGGAGCACGCAGAGGTCGGTGCATGCGGTGTTTACGGGCTTGAGCAGGAGTCAGATTTTGGGAAATGTTAGCCCTCCCCGTCTCTCGGTGCTGCAGAGGCTCGCTCTGCTCGGGCTCCTCTTCGGGAGCTGGCTCCAGCTCTTCAGGGTAGTCATCGCATGGCAGAGTGTCGGGACAGGCAGACTCTGGCACTGGCTCGGTCTGCACCTGGGCGCCCCACCATCCGGGAGGTTGCGGGGGCACGAAAGAGTCTTGAGAAGCTGGGAGCTCGTTGATGCAGGCAGCCCCCAAGAGACTCTGCCAAGCGAGACTTTGCCTGAAGGCCATTGCCAGACTGGCCATTGACGCGACTCCAGCGGCTGCAACCACTGCGTTGTTCACTACAGGGTCGTAGGCAGGGACAGCAGAATTCATAAAATTTTGATGCCATGTCGCTCCAGGTGTGTATGCTTGCCAAGGGTGGGCTGCTCCGTACGATTGTGCGGCGTGCAGCCGCGGATCAGGATAGACGTTCGGCGAGTTTGGGGACTGCCAATGAGAGGTCTGCCAGGACATCGCTGGAGTCGAGGACAGGATTCTCTCAGATGCAGTGGGCGGAGACCAGATCGGACTCTGAACCTGAATCTCGCTCCGCGGGTAGTGGCCGCACGGAAGGCAAGGCTGCCTTGTCTCAAAAGGCTGCCTGACAGCAGCTGTTGGCTGGGCCTGAAGGCTGCCATTGGCCGCGGTCGGTTTGTGGCTGGTCGTCTTGGAGTCTGTCATGTCAGCATGCATGCACTTCACGGTGTCGGGCTCGCAATGGTGCGTAAGCGTCAGGGAGTATCCTTTGGGCAAGGAAGCAGCTAGTTGGGCCACTGCTGTCGTCCCGGTTCCGGGCTTCTTGAGGGTCTGTGTGATGATCTCTGAAGTCTTCTTGCCAGTCGCTCCCGTCTCATGCAGGCCGATATCGTCAAGTGCAGCATATGAAGTGTGATTGGTGGAACTCTGGAGTTTGTGAAACTGCAGATCACGCGGGCATCCGAATGATCTGCTCCGGCGGTGCTCGAATTTGGGGCTCTCTGCATCTGCAAATTCGACAAAGGTATTCTTCACGCAGGTCAACACCTCCATCACGGTCAGAAGCGGCTCCAGCCGTGAAGTGTTGCTGTGCTGTGGGCACCAAGAGGCTAATGCGGCTCAGCGCACTTCAGCACATCCGCTTGTCTGAGATAGCGGCTGCGCAAGGCCAACAGACAGACTGCAAGACTCAGCAACAAGATGGGCTTATCAATGTTCCCTTGCAAACCGGGGCTGCTGCCCAACTCTTCACTGTGTCCACACGATACCGACCGGTGAAGGTTCCGAGGTAGGCGAGGATGCCCGAGCCAATGAGCACCTGCCAGGCTCAGACTTGTAGAGAATGGTCTTGGGGAAGGGCGGGTACAAGAACCTTGCAAACTCTAAACTCGGGATCGCTGCCAGACCAAGACTACCGCGATAAGGTCGGCGCATCTCCGGTCAGGTTGGTGTACTGCTCCCCAAGCCGCTTCGACGACTCGATCCATCGCGTCTTCTCGCCTCAAACCGGAGCCGCGTGCTTTGCTCCTTGGCTACTTGGCCGCTGGCCTCCCAGACCGCTGATCAGCTTCTCTGCCCGCACGAGGCGCTTGCTGCAGTCGTCCACCTCGCATCTCAGCCCGCGGGCCGGGATCTAGGACGAGAAAAGAGCCGGGCGCATGTCGTGCCGCAGCCTGCACGGCAAGATCATCTTTCTTCTTCCTCGCAGACTCGAAGTCTGCCAGCAGCTGCGACACATTGTCCTGCCAACATGACGGCATGCTAGACTTGACATGACCTGACTGGCACGAATGCTCATTGGTGAGTCTTCGTCTGCGGATGCCGAACCTAAATGACATTGGCCTGCACAGCTTTGAGCTCTGCTTTCTTCTCATTCAGAACACCCATGACCTGCAAGCTGCACACGCAAGCCACTTCGAACTGGAAGGGAAAGCGCAATGAATCTCTTCCGAGTCTTTGCATGATTCGGGGGCAGCAGGTCAGCGTCAATTTGCAAAGTCGCAGCTTACCAGTAATTTGGACATGCTTATCCGAACTCTACTGGCCAGCACCGACCGCTCTGGTGAAGCTCTTTTTCGACTGCAGCCGATCCTTCTGAATTCAGGCAGCATTGGACTAAAATGGCTAAAAATGCTGCCCCGGCGAGAGGTGAGTCAAAGCAGCTGTACCGTTGCGAAAAGCAGGCACTGGCAAGGATCAATGGTCAAAGCGAAACAGACAGCTCACGACACAGATACGATACATTGACTTCATTCAATATCTCAATATATAGGCCACATCGTCAATCGAGCGGCTCGTATCCTTTCCAGCCACCCTCACAACTGATCTGTTTGACCCAGAAACCAATTCGGCAGACTATCTCTTAAAGATGGACTTGCTCCAACCTGCCACAATGCTTGATTCGGGCAGATCTAACCCCTCCAGCCCTCTGCAGTCAGCTCGGCGCAAATTGCATGCACGAACCCCGCCGTCCAACTGGCCCGCTAGCACGACCTGGAACGGGAAAAGGCGTCCTGCGGCCGACCATTCGATAACGCTCAACGTGACATCATCTTCACGACCGACATAATAATCAGGGAAACGCGCTGTTGAAAGCAGGATGTGAGCTTGGTCTTGAAGGAAATGAGCTCCTTTCGTTCGCCCACAACCGGGGGACATTGGAATGACAACCCGTTGGCTGTTCCAGAAGTTGGGGCCTAGCTCGTAAGCGAAGATCTCGTACTCCCACGTTAAGAGGCAATGTGTGGGACTGCAAGATATGCACTCGATGTTTTCTTGGCGGTACTCAATCGGCACCGGTATGACTTGGCAATGCTCAGCATCAATCTTGTACCTTTTTGCTTCGGCTAGTGATAAGAAGTGACGCCGAAAAGAAAAAACAACTGCATGAGACATCGACATCATCAGTCATCCTAAGATACTCAAGCCAGGCCCGAAAATGCAAGCAGGCTGCACATCGAGGCTTGCGCAGATGTGTCCCCAATCGAAAGTGCTTCGCAGCACCAGGATGTCTCTGTGAGCGTGCATACTGAATACGGAGGGGTCACGGCTAGATCTTCTCCACGTGTATGCTTCCAGCCTGGCACCATGAAAACACTCCGAAAATGATTCGACCCTAGGGGATTTGAAGCAGCGGCCTGCCAATCTCCTTCCCAAGCTTGCTTAGGATTGTCACCCCGATGGTCTTCTCGCCAGTCCAGGATGCAAAAGCAAACCAGCCGTCTTCAACAGAACCAACAGCTGAGCCAAGGTGGACATGAACGCCGTCGTGGTTGCGCTCCAGAACCGGCTGCAGCCCCGATTCCATGCTTCGGACAGAGAGCCTCCAGTCCGAAATGCCGCGTAGAGGCTCTGAGAAGCTCTGCCAAACCTGCTGGCCAGTAACTTCCGGCACCGGGCTCAGCTCAACGGAAAAGCCAAAGGAACCCTTTTTGATGACGCAGGGGCCTTCTGCACAGCAGGTAGAGATTTCGGATATGCCGGAAAGGATGGCGGCCGCGTTGCCGATGTGCCGTACTGTTATGGATTTGATGGCATTGCCAGTCTCCAGGGAGATAATGTTGATGCAGCTCTCGTCGTAAGGCCTGAGAGGTTTTCAGGGCAATCCTCGTTTCATTCTAACATATTCCAACCTAATCAATCGAGTTTTGAAGCTTGGAGGTGCCAACCTTCCCTTTCGAGCAAAGAGTCTGCACCAAGAGGTGCGGCTTGTGAAGAAACGCCACAATGTTGGCAGACGCTGAAGCAGGCAACTTGTGCCGCAGAAGACTGTAAACTGTGAGCAGGCTGGATGCCATTCTGCGTTGGGAGTTGGGGGTGCTTGCTGTGTTGCACAAGGCTTTCCGGACTTCTGTGGTGATGCAAGGCCCAAACACATATGCAGGTTTTGCGACAAGTCTTGGAAAGCATAAAAAAACGGAGTCTGTGGACGTGCGGGAGGAGTAGAGACAGAGAGAGAGAAGGAGAGACTCAACGCCGGCCTGTTTGGACTTCTGAGACTAGCAAGGTACATTGCAATACCTACCTTTGGTTAGTAGGGAATGGAAGAATGGTAGTAATGGTACTTATAATGGTTCCCATTCCTCCATTCCCTACTAACCCAAGGTAAGAATATGCTGCAAAGCCGAAAGAGAGGACCGCGCTCCATGGCGAATCGACGGCCCAACAGGCAGAGTTAGTCTACGCATTTGACCACAGAACAGAATGCCTGGCCATGCATGGACATGTTGAAGAAACCCTAAAACCCCTAAACCCCTGAAGCCCTAAAACCCCGAAAACCCCTCAAACCCCTAAGAACCCCTAAGAACCCCTAAGAACCCCTGAGAAGCCCTAAGAAGCCCTGGCAACGGCCTTGGCCAGCTCGGATTCTGCCTGCGCCAGGGCCTGGCAGAGGGGGGCCGAGCCGGAGGCTGCGAAAGGCCCCAAAGCACCGGCTCTTCCCGGGGCCACGGTTTAGGGTTTAGGGTTTAGGGGTTAGGGTTTAGGGTTTAAGCACCTTTTTCCGCCTAGCAGTTAAGGTCGGCAGAATCCACATTGTGGAAGGGTTTAGGGTTTAGGAGTTTAGGGTTTAGGGCCGATCGTCCCTGATGCCTCCTTCTTGGGCCCTACGACTTTCGCCACACCGTCGTAGACAATCATGGCACGGACCTTAGGGCGCTGGATGCACAGCAAAACTCGGCTCATGCAGGTTTCGCGCAGGTTTCTCGTGGGCCACGAGCGCCTGGCCCATTTGCAGATACCCATGGCCGCAGTGGATGCCTTCTTGATGACCTCAAGTTGAAGCAAGCCCCCAAAGCGGGAGAAGGCATGAGCCAAATATCTCTCTTCTCTGACTTCACTTTGTAAGACCCAGCCGCATCTCATTCCTTTCATGAAGACCCCGCCCCCCGGCCTCCGGATCAAACTCGGGGTCATCCTCCAGGGGCTTCAACTTTTCGATGACCTCCACCTGACCGCACCAGGACTTTCTGGTATGGGGGGGCCCTTCAGACCACCCCTCAACGCCAAACCCCACAGTATCCACGAGTGCAAATTGAGAAGGAAGAGAAATGGGTGCTAAAAATGAGCGCAAACTGACTTTATTCGACGGATGGGATTTGAATGCAAGGAGTCTCCACAAACGGAAATGTGGAATCTTGGAACCGTGCCGGTATGTGATCCTTGTCATAGCCTCAGATGCATGCAGCGTGTTGAATCAGACCTAGATTTGCTTGGTTGGGAAATCCACAGAAGCTGTGAAGTGAAATTGCTGGTTTCCTGCTTGAAGGACGCAAGAGGCTCAACGCCGGAGCAAAAGAGAAAGCTGCTACAGGAACAGTCGGACAGCAACTCTCTGTCAAAACCCGTAGTGACATTGACATCCCCTTCGCTCGGGCGAACACCCAACAGCCGGTCCAACATCTTTGAGTCCTTAGTGCAACGCGGGAAGGCGTGCTGCGGACTTCCTCAACGACGAGCGCACAGAGTTCAGGGGCTCGGACGCCCCAAAGGCTCTTCTTGGACGGCTCCCAGTAATCATCGATCTGTCCAAGACACAGCTTACCGGTTACACCGCATGCTTTCTGGCATGGGCATGTAGGAGTCGGCTCGGGGGGAGAAAAAAGGCCGCCTTGGTGCGGCCATCCTCCGCAGTGACTTTCTTTGGCTTCACATCGAACCTCTGTCGCTGCTTTTTTCAAGACTGCATGCTGCCAAGAGATCTCGAACCCTCCTGAAATCTCGGCATGGCTTGCGCGTCTGCCGCCGAGGCACATCCAGCACAGTGCCTTCGACACCGTAATGACGCCTTCTGGTGGAGACTTCATATTCTTCACCTGCAAGTCTGAGAACATGTCTACCACGAACCGCCTCTACAGTGGTATTGCACTGACAGTTTCGAAAGTCATTGACTTCATGATGTCACTGGCTAGCACTACCCGCCAGAGGGCGGAGAGCATGCCCCAAGCAAAGAATGCCTCCACGATGTCACCTGGCTCGCAAGCTGTGTTAATTCAGAAAACCCAGGGCTAAACTCAACGACCAAAAAGAGGTGCGCGCGCACCTTTCTTGAGGCTCTTCAGCGCGTCCAAAGCTGCATTCAATGCTGGCAGTGCCTGTGCGAGAGCCACAACGCAAAGGCAGATCGCAGTCTAACGCGACGTGCTTACCAAGTTCCTCGCTTCTACACGCCTCATGCTTAGAGCACCATCTGCTTCTACAAGTTGCATGTCGTCACCAATGCGTGTGCGTAGGTAGAAACCGCCGCATCTGCCATGTCAATGCGGCATCCACGAAGACTTCTGGAACTCACTTGCAATATCTTTAACTGCTGCACTGTGGCAACTGCTGTCGCCAGACTAGCATTATCTTGTTTATCTTGCTTACCTTGCCAGCGAACGGATTGGATTTCCTGGAAGATTTGTGAGCCGTGAGCTCAAGTGAGTTGAAGGCAACTGTGAAGCTTGCCCTCACCACTCAGTCAAACGGATTTTAATCTCCAACACCACGGGTTTGTGAGGCTTGCTATTATTTTCCTGCATGACAGTTCACAAGGGTCACTCCTGGATGCGAACTGGGATTCAAGGGCAATACCTACAAAGTGACGCGGCCCACAGCCCAAAACAAGGGCGTCCAGCAGATCCCACGAGGCGCCTTGTCCAAGTCAGCCTGGCATTCCTCCTTCATGGTGCGCGAGGCTTCTGCCTGCCCGGGTGGGTTATTTCAAGAATCCCTCTCCGTCTAAGAAAAGGCCGGTTGCTCGAGGCCTGTTGCGATGCAGCTTCTTCTTCCTTCGCCACCACCGCCTGTGTTGCTGAGGCCTGCAACGCGAGGGATGTTCCGGTCCGGTTCCCAGTCTTCGCTGGAACACATGGCCTCTTCCTGCTTGTGCTCGATTACGGTCATGAGATCTGCTGTCTCTGCAGACGTCTGCTTGAGCACCTGAAGAAACAAAGCTGTAAGACTTTCTTCAGGAGTGGTAGAGCCTCAGCGGCGCCCAGGGCCCTGTGGTGTCTCTTGAGTGCCCGGCAGGTCGAAGCTCTTCCAGCTGGATGGACATTGTCTTCACCTGCTTGCATCAAGAAGGCCCGCCGGGCAGGATCGCTGTTGCCGCGGCTTGCCTGCTCTTCAGTGGAGATCACCTTCTCGAGGCCATCATCGTAGCGCCGCTTCGCACCGGAGACGTCGTCTCGCTTGCTTGCCAAGACCTCGAGTCTCGAGGCTGGAACGCAATGAAAATCGCTCGAGATTGAAAGGACTAGAGTAGACTTGTTGTGGCTGCGCGGTTTACGGCCATACCTCTGCAATCCTCTGCAGCACTCTCAAGGCTGCTGCGCCCTTGAAGGAATTGATGAGCTCCAGGTATGATGTGGGCGTGACCTCCATCAGAGATGTAGCAAGCATTTCCCATTGCTCGTAGGGCTCCGAGCTCCAAGCATAGTAGTGTCGCTGCACCTCACGGATCTGCTTGGGAATTACTCAGCACAAAATTTCCCAAACCAGCGTTGATAGCGAAGTGGAATGAAATCGTAACGGGAAAAGCGTGTGGGCAAGGCAAGTCGATTTCTCTACCTCCCCAAGCCTCGCGGCGGAAGCGGTCCGTGAGCTCGAAGACGGACTCTTGCATGCGCACACAAATCCTTTGTCGGCTGGTTGCCGCTCGTTTCTACAGCCGACGAGTTGTCAAAAGCTTCTGCGGCGACCGCAGGCCCAAGTGCAAGTTCTGGAATACGACATGTTCAGCGCCGCAGCGGAATGCTTGAGATGTGGGATCTTAAGGTTGCAGTGAACTGGGATGGCACTTTCTGGATTTCAGAGATGGCCTTCGTGGCATCACTCACAATCGAGATTCAGGTTGCGGTAGATGTTCAGAGGCACGGACTCCACCACTCCAGTGAAAACGTCCTTCGCCAGGTCCACCTGTCCAGATGCGCTGCCCCTGAGTGATCTGCACCCGAGCTGTGCGACTCAGTTCCGAATGTCCGCGACCTTCTGCAAGAAATGGGTGGCCACCCCACGGAGCGCTTCCTCTGGCCACTCCATGAACCAATCCTTCAAAGCAAAAGATGGAGGATTCTGGCGGTCGCCATGCGGTTCTGTTTTTTCAGCAAGCACGGTGTTTGTCTTTCTCTAGGAGTAGATGGTAGCACGGGTGCGACTGCAGAAGGCTTTTAATCATCCGCTCCGAGCTCATGCTCACGTGCTAGCTCCCCCAACCTCCTTGCTACCGTCATCTCCGTGTGTATCTTGGAGTCTGTCCTTGCCTGGTTTACTTCCTCCGCAAGTCTTACGAATCTGGGCTCCAGTCGATCGTGCAGCAGTTGACGATGGCTGGGAACATCCGCACGCGTCGGCGGAATGCCTGGCAAAGCTTCCGGAGGCTTCCTGCTCATCACTCCCCTGATAGTTCACAGGGATCACAGGGTACCATGAATTGCAAGCAGAACCATGCCTCACCAATAGGCGACAGTGCAAGAACGAGGTGCAGGTTCTTGCCTCAGCTACAGCTGCTGTTCTTCTAGACAAACTGCAAACCGAAGCCGGTGAAGCTTTGGGAGCACAAGCAACCGCTGAAATGAAACTCCAGTCTCAAATATCTCCTGTGCAAATTATGCAAGTTGCCAGTGTATCAACAGTCTGTCTGAAACGAGATAGCCCTGACACAATGGCACCAACAAACCCAGTTCCGTGATGTCACTTCAAAGGTTCTGACGGCACTGCTCTGTGAAGAAGGCGAAAACCTGCGATACAGGCCAAGTCATTTTCTCTATAAGCAATATACAGAAGTACAAACTACCCTAAGATGGTGCATGGACAAACGCACAACGACGGAACGGCCAGGATGCCATCAATGAGTGCTCGGAGAAACCCGGAGCTGTATCTGTAACAACACGCACACGACAGCTGATCAACTTCAGTTGTTCGCCGGTCTCTCCTGGACACTGGAGTTCAGACGTGAAACTTGAAGCTCCTCCCGGTCCTTGGCTTCTCCTGGGCTTGAAAGGTTCTTCCTTTAGCTCGGGAGGCGCCCCTCAAAGGCCAAGCCCAGCGTTCGTTTGATTCCCATGCGGGGCCAAGTGTGTTGCCTAGCATGTAAGGCTGCACGAAGCTTGTCAGGGAGCTATTGCGTTCATGTCCATGGTGTTGCTGTGCTGCCGATGTTTGCTGAGGGGATCTCTCCTGAAACTCGCAAGGCCACGAGTCCAGATCCTCTACTTGCGGAATGCTGCCAGCAAGTGCCCACTTACACTGCGCACCGTGGCAATCGGCCACTCGACTGAACAGAATGTTGCAAATGCGGCACATGGAAGCGCATCGAGTGCGCAACATTTGGATCGAAATGCGACCCGCGCGACAGTCACGCGAACCGCGGCGAGGGCAGGCAGATGTTTGCAGAGCTGACTGACGAAGTTCGTATAGCGATGCACTGGCATGAAGTTATGAGAAACCAGTGCCAAGAAGTCAGTGCATGATTGGTCCACGACACGGAGGACGTGGCAGTTCGAATATCTAGGAACGGATGGAGAAAGTTATGTGCAACACACTTCTCGCGACTTCGCGCTACTGTGATTCCTGACCGACTCAGCGACAGGAGGCATCATAAACTAACTGGTAACGGCCCTCCCGAAGCAACGAAGGTGAGCAGCTCAAGCCTCCGCAGGGTCGCTGCAGCCAGCGGCCTGGGCCGCCGATGTCGACACCTTGCAGCCAGCTCTATGCCTCTACGGCAGAATTCCAGTCAAGAACTGAATTCCCCCAAACCCACCTCCAGAATCTGCGTCTTGTCCTCGGCATTGAACAGGTTTGGCACCTGCAGGTGGAACTATCCAGTCTAGAGCGCATGTTCCTCGCCGGTACCGAATTCAAGCAGCTCGAATGAAAAGAGCGCGCTGTTTTGCTGCCGCCAAGGCCAGATCGGGATCTTTCGCGCCATGCACACAAAGGTTCCATCAGCCCAGGGCAAGCCCAGAGTCGCGTGGAAGTGCCCTCTGCTCCGTACCCTAGGTCCGGATCCCATTTCATCGAGAAGGCCTTCCTTTCTCGGACCTCTGCCTCTCCGAAGGTCTTCCGCTCCTTGCTTCTCCATGCTGCGGCGTGTTTTCCGAAACAGGTGGATGGGAGAGCCTCCGGGTGGCTCAGCGGAGGAACTCCGAGCCTCTGATGAACACCACTGAGTGCACCGTCACGCACGCAAAAACCATGAAAAGCACGGCCATCATGCAGCTTGCTTGGCGTTTGCTCATCACTGCCCAAATTGCTTTCCAAGGTTCTATGATCTTCACCTGAAGAGAAGATCGCTGGAACAGCCCTGTCTTCTGAAGGCCAGACAGGCGAAAACTCGGACCCCTGCGCTGCTGCGGCCGCTGTGCCATCTGAAGCACCTCTTGAGCTGCAAGCAATGCCTCGCGGACACCGGAATTGGGGGTCGGTGTTTGCTGATCGGACCCTAACAGCACAGCTGCTCGTCCGAACTTCCAAACCCTTCGTATCCCGAGAGATGTAACTGCCAACTGCTGCCTCTGGCCTCTTTCCCATTCAGCAGGTTGTCAGTGAGGCTTACGCTGGACGGCAAGCTGTCGACACCGAGGCTTTGCCTCGTCATGTTCTTGTGCAGACTAAGCTGAAATAAGCTGAACCTGAGGAGCATCGAGAGCATGAATGACCAAGTGGCAGCGTCAACTGCTGTGCAGTGGGGAATGCCTGCATGAGCACAAGAGCACAAGTCAATCAGCTTCTCTGATGGCAAACTCGGAGGATGGTTGAAGCATTTTGAACGATGGCCATTGCATGCATGCCACTTCGCCGCCGAAAGCATCAACCGACAACGCAAAGCAAGTGATGGCCTTGCAAATGGCACATAGGAGCTGTGCCTCACAGAGGGTGCAGTCAAACTCTGTGGAGGCCATGTCACCGGGCGCATGCATAGTTCACCCCAACACTTCATGGCAAGCCTTTGCAGTGGGTTTGACGGCAATGTCGAAGGCTTGCTGGGCTGTCCTGGAGACACATCCGATGAACTGCCTGGCGCTACGTTGACTTGAGACAGGATCCTCAGCATCTGCATGTACAGAATGGAACAAGTCGCAGCCGAGTTTCTGAGTCGGAGCTTTCCGCTTGAGAGCACGAGTCCACAAGCCCACACTCAGATCTGCCAACGTTTTGCGAACGAAGCCCGAGACAGTGTCCTGCCAATTCACTGACGAGGCAGTCTGGCCACATTACACATGCCCAGCAAAGCACATGCACATGCACTCGCCCACTGATGGTTGCTGCTCCATATAAGCAGACAACGAGGGGACCTGAAAAGCAGCAAGCCAGAAACTTATCCTCCCTAAACCCCAAAACCCCAAAACCCTAAAACCCTAAAACCCCAAAACCTGAAAACCCAAAACCCTAAAACCCTAAACCCTAAAGCCCCAAACCCTTGGGAAAGAGCCCAAAACTCCTCCAAAGGCATCGCCTGCAGAGCTGCTGCCAGGACCTGCGGGCGCCCAAGCAGCGCAAGCCAGCGGAGCTCCTCGGAAGGACACCCAGAGCCTGCCTTTAGAGGTTTAGGGTTTAGGGTTTAGGGATTTAGGGTTTAGGGGTTTAGGGGTTTAGGGGTTTAGGGGTTTAGGGTTTAGGGTTTAGGGTTTAGGGAGGCCTCTGCCTTGGAGGATGAATGTGCGAGTGTGCCTGTTTAATCCGGGCGGGATGAGACCTGTCTTAGTTCCATGCAGCTTTTGCCACTGTGCCCCTCATCGTGTTTTCGCTCTTACCGGTCTGCAAGGTTTGATGCGGTTCGGAAAGGCATGCTTCCATTTTGGTAGTGAGGCTGTCACGGATTCCCTTGGCCAGTCATGTCTGGCAGGTAGTCCTCAACTGCGTACAATGGGAATCGAAGTTGCTGGCTGTCACGGACGTTTTCCGGCCGGGAGAGGTCTCTCATTCAAACTCACACTGTGTCTTTCGGATTTGCAATGTCGAGCTTGTTCCGTAATGTTTCGTCAACATCCCGTGAACACACGGTGTCGAAGCCGGCGACGGGTTAGGGTTTGGCATCCGTGTCTCCTTTACGTATTCTCTTCGCCCTTTCGTTTGTAAGTAAAGCGCACGAAACGAAAGGCAAAAGAGAAATGAACGACACGAAAGGGGAAGCGAGCGAGCGAGCGAGAGAGAGAGAGAGAGAGAGAGAGAGAGAGAGAGAGCGAAGCTCAACGCCCTCCACAGCCCAGAGACCCGCACCGCAGCACGTGGTCGCCGCTTCAGCGTGGATGAGCAAGAAGCCTGGAGTGCGAGTGCACAGACAGAATCATCAAATGCTGAGCACTCTTGAAAGACTGACCAAGAATCGAAGATGCATGCACCGCTCGAAACAGCAAGACTGACAACACATCTCGCTTCCGCAGTAGTGATTTCAAACACCAAGCCGAAGGCAACATTCTCACAATCTTCTTCGAATGGTGCTGTCCAATCTCAAGTGCGCTGGCGGCTGTAGCAAGAAGCTAGATTGTAGATGCCGAATGTCAATGCAAATTCCTCTTCCTGCAATATTTCAAAGTACGAAACCAACAATGGTTGTTAACACAGGAAGGTAGAACACAAAAAACCTATGACTCCTGTGTCGATGTCGCCCTATGCTTACCACATCACATACCTTTATATTGCACTGCATCGCATACTTCCATTACAGTTTCTTGCATTAGGTGACATAGATATATGTGGAACCATGCCTATGCACATGAACTAACAAGATTTGTTAACACAATGCGTACACATACACAGATACAAGCTGACAAGACATACACGTACGAAGTACACAGTCACGTATAACGTACATGTTCAACACAAACACACGACATGAGGCACGCATACACATTACACGTGCGCATTCTCACACACACACAGACAGACAGACAGACAGACAGACAGACAGACAGACAGACAGACAGACCGACGGACGGACGGACGGACGGACGGACGGACGGACGGACAGACACACAGACACACAGACACACACACACACATACACACACACACACACTTACACACCCCCCCTAAACTACTGAGCAAGCGGCGAAGACGGCCCAATCCCCGTTGGCCAATGCACGCAGGCAGGACACCTCACAGACCTGCCCGTATTATTGCCGGCTACAACTTGAGCTTCTGGGGCTTAGGCTTTGCGCAAGGATCTGGAATCTGAAGGGTTTTAGGTTTTTTGGGTTTAGGGTTTTGGATGTTGGTGTTCAGGGTTTCCGGCTAGGAGGGCTTCGGGCCTCAAAAGTTTTACGTGTGCTTGGGTTTAGTGATTTTGGCGTTTCGGGTGTCCTTTCTCTGTGTCTTTGCGTGTTCGCGAATATCTGTGAATACCACACATCGGGCTCTACGGTTCTAGGATTCCGTAAACCCGAAGCCTGAACTTAACCCAAAACCGTTACCCTGATGGTGCTCATCACAGCAGGAAACCAAGACATCGGGGTAGCTCGGCAGGGTCTGCCTCTTCCAGGAAGTCTGCATCCAGATGCTGAACCGTGATGTCCTGGTGCCGCTCGAGATCTCGGGCTTCATTTCATGACGATCGTGGCACTGCGATCATGCGATGAGAAAGACTCAAGCCTTAAGCCCTACATCCTAAACGCAACAGTTGGAATTGGAACGACGCTGACTCAAGGAAGCATGCAGACGCGAGATTCTCGTGGGCCATGGACGTTTCCTGCCGGATCGCCCTCAGCATCTCCGCTTCCCAGGACCATGCCTCGGTCGCCAAACTTTTGCAAACCAAGGCCCTTTCAAGTGTCCAGTTACTCGTTTTTTAGGCTCTGGGGCTTAGGGTGGAGATAGTGGGTGTTTAGGTGTGCAGCAGTACAGTGCGCAGATGTGCATTCTGTTCGGACCGGGCTTCTGGAATCTCTGTCGCTCTCTTTCGCTGGGAAGGCCTGCGAACTCAGCTGAGACAGCTGAGACAGTCTACACTCAAAATAGTTACCTATACCATTTTTGGGTGCTCCTTCTTATAATAATAGAATAATGGGCCCCCAAAACCTATTCTAATTATTAAATGCCACAGTCGATGGGTCCGGCAGGCTGGAGCGCCCGTGTTCAGTATCAGCTGCACTCTCGCCAGGGGTCAGAACTCAGAGTTAGGGAAGAGCAGTTGCAAGACTCTACTGCGCCTGCACATCTTCACCTTCACCTTCACTTTAACAACTGGGTAGTTCTCTAAATTAGGGTCCCTTTTTAGGTCCCAAATATGGTACGGCACCCTTATAAAAAGGACCCCAAAAAGGGACCCTGTTTTAGAGAACTATCCAACTCATGTTTCGGAGCTTTTTGAAAGGCTTCGGGCTCGATTGTTCTGAAGCCAAGGCGCACGGCCGGCTGAGAGGCAGTGCTGTAAGGCCTCGCGGAGTACCTCCAGAATTTCAAAGCACGGCATGTGTAAGGCCAAGACGACAGCAAAAAGCCTGAATTGCAAGTCGTACATCTTTACACTGCACGATTGCCAGAGTGAGCTGATACGGTTGCCACGGTAGAGTGATGACAACTGGGAGCTGATACTAGTATGCAGGTTCGCAGGGACCTTTGGGCTCTTGGCTCTGTGCTCCACCCCGATCCCAAGACTGAAGCTGAGTAGCAAGCCGGCATGGGCCGAATCTGCTCCGGATCACGGAGCTTCGCGGCATCACGCAGGTAGCCTCAAAAAAAAAAAACAAATGTGTTCGCCGAGATCATGGAACCACACGACCGATGTCCTGCCTCGTTCCAAGGCGCGACAGCGGCCGATGAGGACCCCGGCATCTGAGCAAGGCAATGCAGACGGTTTAGGGTTTAGGGTTTAGTGGTGTGAAGGCGAAGTTCAAAAGCACCACTCTTCCGACATACTATGCTGAAGACAGAGCCGGATAGACGGACGGCCAGATGTGAGTACTCATACACGCATTGCTACGCGCACATATATACTTGGAATTACTGGAATATGAGAGCCGACCACTTCCCAGCCAAAGTAATCCGGTTCCGCCACCTGTGCTGCCGGCTGAACGAAGCATCCCCGGCCGATGGCTTGAAAGGACGGTCAAGTCCTGGACAAGACATCCTGCTGTGCAGCTTTTCCCAGCTATGGTGAGTGCCGTAACTCGGCCGCATCAGATATGCACTCTACCAACTGCATTAAAGGAGGCCTGGTCCACACGGGCCATTTTGGCGAAGCGCCCACGACGCGCACCGCGCGTTTCGGCAGACTCCTGGAGGGATCAGCAATCACCAGGAAACCACGAGAGCATGGCAAGCAATTGCCTGAGATCCCCACTTACTGCATGGACATGGAAACGCTTGACATTAGTATTCTCATTGTTAATATCATTAATATTGTTGCTATTATGATTATTTTGATTGTGACCACTGTTGATATTGCTATTATTCTTGTTATTTTACTTATCATTAGTAGTATTGCTATTATGCTTTATTTTTATTGCTGTGATTTGCAGTCCTCCAGGCCCGGAAGCTCCAGTTGCATCGGAGGGCCAGCTGCAGACTCAACCACATCCTCCTGAGATCCGATGACCCATCCAGTCGGCTTCTGGGCAAAGATCGTTCACATGTCACATCTCTGTTCGTTCTTTAGGGTTTCGGGTTTAGGGTTTAGGGGCTCTATCTGTTGCCCAAACAATTCCCTCGCAGCTGGTAGCAGTCGGCTTGCCGAGTTGTGTAGCCGAACGTTTGGGACCCGACCGAGCTGCTGTGAACTGCAACCCCAAGGCTGTCTGACAGCGCATTTAATTCAAAGGAGGGACGTATTTCCCTGTAGCATCCATGATTCATCGCGCTACTCACCGCAGGATGCCGTGAAGCGCACAATCTGCCAGGTCATGGAGGATGTTGGTTCATGAAAAACACAGGCGATGGGGTAAAAAAGCTTGCACCATCCGAAGTGTACTTATCCTGTTCGTTGGTCTGGCCGACGTGTGCACGAAATGGTCGCAGCGTTTGCAGCTGTCCGGCGCTGACGAGTTCCCAACGACCACCCACTCTGCCCATTCGTTAGCCAAGTGACCGGGTAAGCTGCACCTGCCAGATTGTGAGAACATGTGAGAATCTGAGAAGGGAGCAAGGCAGACATCAGCGCCCGGTAACCCTAAACCCTAAACCCTCAAGCAATGTAAGGGCAAAGCAGGGCATCTCGGCTTCGGCGCCTAGCGGCCAAAAGTCGCAGCCGTGCGGCACCTTCGGATGATCCGGGCAGCCAAAGTAGCCTTCAGGGAACAGCTAAGCTGCATCTGAGTAGATACTAATTCTATGTATTTCAACATTAGACGAAGTCTCTAGACCGCATACACCGTACAATGCACTCTGAAACATAAGTCTTTGAGCTTATTTGCTGGTCTCGGCCTGTTATTCGAAACGCTTCGCGGGCACAAATTGCCGGGAACAGGGCAAAGTCATCCCATGCCTGTTTGGCACGATTTCGGAGGCATGTGGTTGCTAAGCAGCTCAGCATACCCAGACGACATAGGTCGTGTGATCTTGAACATGTGGCTCAGTGAAAAACCGCCTTGGGGATGTCGAAGGCCTTCCCGTACCTGACATCTTCCAATGCTTGGAAATTGAACATGCTACTGTACTGCGTTACTGCACTGTGTGCGGGTCTGTGTACAAACTCTATCGAAACAGCGGAATTGATAATTCTTGTGACAGCTCTGGTATAGCCCCCGCAATTGCATGATAGGTGCCAGATGCCATTGACACCGAAGCTTACCTCGCGCCGATCTCGGTCCTGCTTCGACAGCAAAGCGTGTAAAGACGAACCTCTCTTTGATCAAAGGAGCTTTGCAACAAATAGAGTCCAGACAGCACGTGACCACGTCGCCGGCTTCAAAGGCGGCACCGTAGTCTGCGAACTTGTTCCTGTGGCCTTATTGAAAAAAACGCATGTGCTTTGAGGCCCGAGAGTTGCCCTGGTTACGGCCGATCGCCGAAAGCCGCTTCCCTGCCAAGCGGCTCTTCTTTCCAGTGCCACCGAAGCCGAAGCCTTCCGCATCCTTCCGACTTAGGACTACTGACACCCGAGAAGGTGAAACAACTACGTCTGAAGTCAAGAGCACATGCCTAGCCATGGACTCAAGGTTGGCACACGTGCAACGGCGAAATCAAGATCGGCCGACTTAGGAAACTCCCATCCGGCCGTGCCAAGTGCCAGGGACGCTGTGGACGACGACCAGCCCACTCGGAGGAGGCCCTCCGTGACCTTCACCTCGAAGCAGTATTGGCCTGCGGGGCAAGACAGGAGGGTTGAGGGGGTTTAGGGTTTAGGGTTTAGGGTAGGATACTGTCAAAGCTTCAGCTGACGAAACCCGGCCGCCTGAAACCACGCCGGGACGTCCTCGCAGGCCGATCCAGGCGCGCTCGGTGCTTGCACAGGCGGCTTTATAGCAGCCTACAGAAGTCACAGGCTGCAGCTGATAAAGATCAAAGTCGTGCGAATTTGCCTCCAGTGAGAGGATCTTGCTCAACCTGGACTTCAGCATCCTTGGTGTTTGGATCCTTGGTCAATTGAAGATGAGTTGGTATCACTTTCCTTTCCCCGTTCCAACTCAAGCGAGTCGCCCATCCCGCAAGGGTTGCGCCATGGCGGCGCTTCATGGCACATGCCGCTGCAGCTCGGGATCGAATCTGCAAATGAAGCAAAGATGATGGGCTCTAGCTGATGCTAGCTGCTGCGGACGCGGTAAGACGGGTCTACCACGTCAGATCGGGTCTGCAAAAGGCTCAACAGGAGCCTCAAGCCACGCCATGTCATCAGATCAGCAAACCAAGCCGAAAGAGCGAGCAGCATGCCACGAGGTCGAGCCATGATCTCATCAATACAAACCTAGAAGGCGAACACACTGCTGTCCCTAAGCAGCCAGACATTAACGATGTCCATGGGGATTTCGAAGGTCCATGGTGCAGGCTCTGTCTCGGGGAATTCTCGCCGTCTGAGACCTATCTCGGCCGGCCGAGTGGAATGCACAGCTTTCGTGAGGCAGAACCTTTGCGAAGTGATGCGACTGAGCTCAGTAAGTGATCGCGCCTCGCCATTGTTCAAGAGGCTCGAAGTGTCTTCCAGGAAGGATTCCTGATGCTCAGGGCTAAGGCTCAGACCGAGGCGTGAACACCGACTGCTATGTTAAACCGAGTCCGCCTTCGGAATCTGGGTGTCTGCAAGCAGAAACGTTACCTTCACAGATATGTTGACAATACAAGCACCAGGGGTTTGCACCAGATACTTCCATTCGCTTCAATCACGACCTACATGAGGGTGCACACCTGCGTGGAGCTTCCGACCATCATGAGCAAGCGCTTCACCTTGTCAGGGCAAACTTGGTCTGTCAGACGTGCTAAGAAAGCAGGAGCGCTTGAACGGTCTCCAAGCTGTGGGCATCATCATGCCAGTCAGAGACAGTGTAGTTCTTGGTGATTTCAATAGAGAACTGCTCGTACCTGAAACCACCCAAACGCACCCAAATCTGAGCATCAGTCGAGTCTCGCAGCAGCTCAGAAAAGCTAGGCGCACTCGGCCACGAAGGTGGCTAAGGATGCTAGACTCTTCCGGCCGCTGCCTGAGGCATCGACTACCCTCCCATTCCCCGCATCCTTGTACCAGCTTGAAGAAGGCTGGGTTGCTTCCAGCCTCCGACGCCCACTAGCAGCGAATTCCCGAGAGGAGTCTTCAACACCCGCACCTGAAGCACGGCGGCACACAGCCGGAGATACTCGCATTCATCGAGCCCCCGTCACACCCTCCTTTCTCAGACGACAATGCACGCGTGTCTACTGCCAGGAGCCGAACGATACGGCAGATGTGTTGGGCGGCAGCCCTGGAACGAGCAAAGTCCACTTTGTCTCGCATTTTTCGTGAGCTCTTCGTATGATCATCATCCGACCGTGGCCAGCTCGGGCTACGGCATGAACAGAACGAGCTCCATGCCGCGCTTTGCCATGGAGTTGTAATCCATGAGACGGTTCTTCCTGGCGCGCAACCCTTGTATTTAAGCATCCCAGGCGAAAGCTAGCTAGACCTTACAATTCATACAACACATGCAAGCGTAGCAGCACGTCATCCAGCTGCTCATAGTCGCTGACCTGCTGATAGTATGGTGCCTTGCCTGAGCCGTAGGACAACTTGGCACTGCAAACCTGCCATGCCTGCACACGGAGATGCTGTGGCCAAGCTGAGTATGCCACTGTCAGCGAAGTCAATAAAAATTAGCGGCTCCTGCACTGCGAACTAATGGGCGGCCGCGATTCGATGCAGCTACCATCACCCATCCTGTTTGACGACGGCTTTCCACTGCTTCTTGAAGTGCTCCTGTGCATCATGGCGGCCAGCACAACCACCAATCAGACGCAGACAAAAACACTTGATCCAGTTGCCAATCAGGTAGGAGGAGCTGAAGGCATGCTGGCTCGGCCAGTTTGCACTGGTTCAACAGCCGCCGAAGGCAATTTGATGTGCCCTGACTTCTCCTGCACCTTCTCTTGCAGGAGCTCGTTGAACCATGCCTCAGCAGGCACGACTTGGCTTCATAATCACGGGAGATGTCTGCTTGAGTTGGGCGCATTATCCTCATCATTGACGAGCCGGTCCTGTCACGGGGTTGCAGCACGGCAACCAGCGAGACACTTCGAAATCCAAGCAGAGCTAGCTGCTGGCTGCACTGAGAACACCCAAATTTTGATTCCGCAGTCGCATTGACTGCGCCACCGAGCCATGAAAGTTGTGCGATCCGGGATCTCCGTTCTACAAGTACCTCAAGATTATTTATCTTGTTCTAAGCAGCATTATTGCTACTATCTTTTACGATCATTATTGTTATCATTATTGCTATTGTTACTGTTGTTACTGTTGCTTTTATTCATAATAAGAGTAATGCCATTAATATTTTCATGACTATTTCTGCTATTATTATTAGTATTATTATTGTTATTATTGTTATTAGCCTGCCCTCTGCTCGCGGCGCCTGGAAGACCCGCTGGCATTCGTGAACCCAGCATCGGATGAAGTCGTCCGGGGTCGGCAGAGACTCCTTGCTGCAGAGGCAGATGCCCTGGTTCACCTCAGCGCAAGCTGTTCCATTTACATCGGATGTGTGCGTTCAGCTGTGCGTTCGCATGCTACGTTCTGTTCCTCAACACAAAGCGAAAGACAGATAGCGAGCGAGCGAGAGAGAGAGAGA